AGCCACATGGTAAAAAATGCGTCAGAAAAGATCTCCTACTGCACTTTAAGGGCCTTTACTCAGGGAACCAGAGTGGCAGTCTGTGGGAGCGGGGCTCAAACTCAGAACCTCAGGATTCCAAGCTCTATACCCTAACCACTAGGCCACCACTCCCCTTCAAGTGTCCTTATTCCTTCCTTTCATTCATTAAATTGTCCTAATTTCCTCCCACTGTATAAATGTTAGTTTGGTAAACATTTGGTTTGGAATCAGCATATTGGAATAAGAATAGTTTTGCTCTGGATAGTCTTTATTAAAGATCGATTACTCTCTCCTTGTATGCTTCCAGGTGTTCCTCAGGTACCTGATGGCCAGATCTGCCAGTGTGGCAAAGAGTGCTCATCATTCTCTGAGTTAAAGTCTCATCTCAACAGCCATAATAGTAACCACAGCCATTCCCAGCCTCCTCACTGCCACAGCCCATCGCTTCAGCACCACGCTCAGACGCAGCAACAGCAACCAGCACCACCTCAGCAGCAACAAGAGCTGCAACCACAGCAGCCTCAACACGTTCCCTCTGAGGAGAAACTCCTCAACGGCACGTCAAGTTCCTCGTCCTCACCTTGGCCCTGTAACAATCCCGCCGCAGGACAAACAAATGGCGACAGCAGCCGCAACGGGAACTCCAACAATGCTGCCACCAGAGGTAAAGGCCAGGGCAGCGTGCGGGAGAAGAAGTTCAAATGCAGCATGTGCTCTCGGGCATTCATCACCTCCACTAAGCTAAACGTGCACTTCATGGGGCATGTGGGGATGAAGCCTCATAAGTGTGAGTACTGCAGCAAGGCGTTCAGTGATCCCAGCAACCTCAGGAAGCACCTCAAGATTCACACAGGTACTTTAAGCTGCTCTATTTACCTGTAGCATTCTATCCATGAGGAAAAAGGTGGACTGCTTAGACCTGTTCATTTTAAATAGAATAAAGAACTGAGATTTCAGCTAAACGAGAATCTTAAAGTTTGCTGCAAAAGTAATAATATCAACTAAACTTTTCAATATGTAACCACTTTATAACCTCCAAATTAAAGATTTTGAAGATTATATATGACAAGCTAACACAAATGCAACTGTTACACGGATACAAATCTACTAGGTGTATCTTTTATTTTGAAATTATTAAATAAACCTCCAGTGTAGCTAATTGCTTTCTCAAGTCACCAATTAAGGAACTGGAAATTCAAATAAATTTTATTTAACTTCTGTAAAAATCCAGAACATGACTGTTAATAAAATGAACGAGGAAAAGCATCATGGATCACAGCAGATGGGTCAGGAAGAAGGTTCTGGGAGTTAAAAGCTGGAAAAGATATTAAAAAATGTATATATTTTTGCCATCCTCTGAAAAATGATACCTTATTTAGTAGTGATATTTAATAAAGGTTGGATATAATAATTTATGGGTTATTTATCAGGGAGAAACTGCTAACAAATGGAAACCTTTTTTTTTTTATTTTAACAGGTCAGAAGAACTTTAAATGCACAGTTTGTGGGAAGTCATTCACGCAGAAATCTCACGTTGCTTCACATATGCTCATCCACACCGGTGCAGAGAAACTCAAGTGTGACCTTTGCGACAAATCATTTATCCGCAAACAAGACCTGAGACAACACATGTTCTCTCACACAAAGTAGGTCGTTTATTACACCCTTCCTCTAATGATTACCCTCCAGGAAGGTTTTGATGTTAAATATGTTTCCATATCTCCACAGTGAGCGCCAGATTCAGTGCACAAAGTGCAACAAGCACTTCCTGAAAACCAACCACCTGAAGAAGCACATGAACTCTCATGAGGGTAAAAGAGACTTTGTCTGTGAGAAGTGCCACAAAGCTTTCCTCACTAAATACCACCTCACACGTCACCTTAAGATCTGCAAAGGGCCCAAGAGAGACAGAACGACTCGAAAGGAGCAGAGTGCTTTAAAGGAAGAGGAGGAGGAAGACGAGGAAGAAGACGAGGAGGAAGAAGAGGAGAATAGAGGAAGAAGAGGAGGTGTAGAGAGACTGAATGATGAGGATTATGGTTTAGATGTTGGAGGTTATAACTCTGAAAAATCCCTTTCCCCTCCTCATTAAGACAGAGTGCCTCTTGGAATATTTGTTTTATTTATTTACTGTATACATTGCTATATACATTTTACACATATATGCCACATTCTACAAAAAAGTGATGCTACATTATATGATGTAACAATTATTTTAAAATTCTTCTAAAATATTATTGCTGCTATAGTATTATATATGTAAAATTCTGTTTATTATGCCTTGTCTGTTTTAATATTTCTTGAGTTTATTGGTTATTTTATAATGTCTTGACATTGTTGTAACTATTAACCTACTTATTTTACAGGAATTGCCATTTTCTGTACCAGAAAAGGGCTTCTGTGTCAGTGTTTTGTCAAATGTTTTAAAAATAAAATTGAAATCTATAATTTTTTTGCCTGCAAGAATAGAGTAAATGACATGTGACACCAGCCGGTATAAACTACTGCTGGTAGCAAGCTGCAAAATACTTACATTTAACAAATAAATATAGGAATGTTTTCAGACTCGTTATACCATCCGTGTGAGAAGCATGTTGGTCTTTGCCGCCCCCTGTTGGCACATTAGAAAATAAGCCACAGTCGGCATTCGTATTGGGTCGAATACTAATGCTATTTCCTGGCTGATTTCTATTTCAATACAAACCAACTCGCCTATAAAATATAAAAGGGGCGTATATATATTTTTCGACAATTGTTATGATTTTTTTTTTATTAAGGTAAAGTAATTTATATGGGTCTTATTTTGAAATTCCTGCACCGGAATTGAAATTTCGACTTCCTGTTTGGAAATACAAATATCCAGCGCCGGTGCTTTCATTCACTTCAGCGTGGTATGTGTTTTACTCTCATTTTTATACTTTAATTTTGATTTTTGTGAACTTTTTAAGCTTTTGTATTCACAAACATAACATAATTTTAAAGTAAACGCAGACTTCCGGTGCGCCTCTGCTGTTTTTGTGCTAGCTAACGGTTTAGCTAGCAGCTCTGCTGACATTAACGTTAAATAACAATATTTCATGTCACCTACTTTAACTTTACTCATTAAATAAGGCTTCTAACTTCACTTATTACTCTAATTTCTTATGCATTTTTTATTTATTTATTGTTTTTTTCGTACTTTTCCCAGCCTGCCCTGAGTGACAGCTATGCTGACCCCACAGAAGGAAGGGATGCCCAGCATGATAGACAGGGCGCTGAGGATGAGGAGGGAGGAGCAGGCGAGGCAGATCGTCCTCGCCTGGGCAGTTCTTAACGTGTCCCTAGCTGGCATGATTTACACTGAAATGTAAGCATTTATAATAGATAAGTTGTTATAATATTTTCATTTCGAAAATTTGTATATTAATGTGTAAGGATAATTATCAATGAAGATTAGGGCTGGGTATTTTGGCCAAATTCCTGAATCGATTCAAGTTTGATTCATACAGTTCTAAATCGATACATTTCGATTCAATCTGTTTTTACAATAATGAAAGTGGTTCAACTTTTTATTTTTTCTTGGCATATAAAATACCAAACTTGTAAATCAGACAGTTTAAACTTGTGATGTGTACAAAACTGTCTCAAAAGTGCAAATTTGTTTGTGAAAAGTGAAAAAGGGAGACCTCGCTCGAGCAGGCAGACATGACACAGCAGACATGCATGAGCTGCATTATCTCCACTGCACAAACCATATTTGCAGCGTTGTCTGTAACAAATACAGGGTGTTTTCTGGTCAGCCCCCATTTGTTAATGACTTCAGTCAACCTATTTGCTATATTTGCAGCTGTCTGGCTTGAAGTCATCTTGGTGGTCTGTAGCACGAGATGCAAGGCGCCACTCATCATCAGTGTAGAGGGAAGTCACCTTAATGTCTCATATCCAGCACATTATCTTTAGCTGTTCTAAATCCAAAATGGTTCCAGACATCAGACTTCAGTTGGGACAGCTTGCTGAGCGGTGTGTTACTTGGGTTGCCGTTTGAATGTGAACGTCATGCCCTACACATAGATTTTGCAAAAATGTAAAGGAGTCGATCCAAAATCGATTAGATTGATTTTTTTTTTTTTAACCCAGCCCTATTGAAGATGTGTGAGTGTATTACACCATGGTATTGCCTGCCTGTTGCATGTCAGAACTGATGTTTTCCACAATAGTTAACCCTTTAAAGCCTGAACCATGAAATAATTGACAGAACATGATGCTTTGAGAACAAGATACATTTTTATACGTTAAATTACATCTTTTATTTGCATCAATTTGGATATATTACTCATTTCTATATAATTATTTTTATATTTTCCATTCACTACATGTGTCTGATTATGTAAGTGAGGGTTTCAAGAACAAAAAATCCCACTGATGATGCAGAGGATTCAAAAACTCAGGTATCAAATATGATACTTTTTGCTTTAAAGGGTTAATCTAATTAGGACAGTTCCTCTGTCTGGATATATAGTTATAATTTTCATTTTGTACGTGGCAAAATTTTGGAAATGTAATGATAGAGATGTCCTTCAGCTAAGAACATAGTGTAATATTTTGATAAGGCTGGAGCCATGGACGTTTCTTCATCTGCTAACGTGTATGATGTTAAATAAGATGATGTGGCAGACTGGAAATGTATAAAATGCCTTTTCAACTTCTAATTGGGGCCACTTCCTAAGAGGTGAGCCCGGAGGGGAACAGCTGCCTTTTGTAAACCCTAAAGCCAGGCGTACACTCTGCGATTTTTTTCAATCCCTGCACATATTCACTATATTCGTGCAGGGTTTCATCATACGGTGTGAGTTCACAGCTCACGATGCATGTTCAGCCCAGCGCTCTGATTCGATCTATCTGCTCTGCAGTGACATGGAGCTACTTTGGCTCATCTATCTGGAAGCCAAATGAGTAGAAGAGGAATATGAAGCTCACTTTAGTAAACCGCACTGCCTTAGCAATTTGTACAATATAGTGCTGTAAGTCCTATTTGGACAAAGACATGGCTGAGCAAACGTGGTTACTACAGTCTTTCAGTTCTACAGAGAGAACCCCATTTCACTCATTGCACCCCTGGCATGCTTCTGTGTTTACATCTGAGAGGAAGAAAGAAAAAGAAGAATCCTTGTTTGCGCACTGAGCGATTTGCCCACGACAATCGGGTGATTTTCTCCCAACCTTACGATTTCTGATCGGGAGTTGGTCGTTAGAAGCTGATCGCCCCTCGTTACACCCTGTACTTTACATGACGCACAATCAGGCTGGAAAGTGGCCCGATCGAAAAATTCTTGCACGACTGGAAAATCGCCCCAAAAGGGGCAAAAAATCGCTCAGTGTAAGCCCGGCTTAAGCAATTTTTCTGATCTTAGTAAGATTACAATTTCTATCAGAATCTGTTGTCATGTCTCCTGGTTATTTAATAAATTTAAGTTAAGAAAGGTTATTTAAAGAGTTTGTCCCGAATGATCTCTTTTCAGGGAATTGAACCAGAGAGATAGAGCTTCAGGGTGCATTGAGCCTATCTTTAACAAATAGTTATGCTTGTTACCTCTGTAGGTCCGGGAAGCTGCTGAGTAGGTACTATAACATCACCTACTGGCCCATCTGGTACATCGGTGAGATCCTGTTACCCTTTCTTACTACTGCTTAAGTGTTGGCCTGTTATCTTTTTAATGAATTGATTCTCTGTTCTTTCCTACAGCCTGTTTTTATTTAAGGCCAAACCTTTAAAGTTTGATCTCTGTAGAAATGCCTGCCAAAAGTTAATGCTGATATTTGGACAAAAAAGCAACTTTAAATCTAGAAAGTCAGGATTTTTTTTTGCATAAAATCCTTTTGAATCTAGAGATGTAAAATGGATCAAATGATTTGGTTACATGTCTTTTATGTATTACTTTCTGTTGTCTAAAACTCTGTTATGTTTGTTCTTTTTGTTCTTCTAGAACTTGTTCTGGCTTCGCTCTTCAGTCTCAATGCTCTGTTTGACTTCTGGAAGTATTTTAAATACACAATGTCTCCGTCCACTATTGCTGTTACCCCTCAGCAGCATAACCTTCTGGGTTTAAGGAACACAAGTAAATATCCCTTTATTTGTAAAGAGGAAATCTTTTTTCTTTTTTTTTTCTTACTGCCTGGTAATTGTTGTTGTTTCTATTTTGACATTCACCTTACAGATATCCAGGCTTCTCCTCCCCAAAAGCCAGAAAAGAAAGAGGCTCCAGCTCCAGATCAGACTTCCCCACTTCAGGGGCAGAGCGTGCTGAGCTTCAGTCCATCCCGTCCAGCTTCAAGCAGCCCTAAGTTCTCCCCCAGCTGTGCAGCTGGGTACAGCCCTCCTCTGGGAAGTCCATCCCCATCAGGCAGTGCAGGAGGACCTTTTACCCCCTCAGTGGCCTTTGGAAAGGTGCATGATGTTTTTAACAAACAAAAAAGGAGCCAAAATGGCTTCTAAATTAATGTTAGATATTTTATTTTGCTCACATCCTAGGTGCTGAACTACAGTCCATCTTCAGGCTCTTCACCCTACCAGAATACTATTGGATCAGCTGAAGGCTCTAGCTTGAGAGCTCGATATCGAACATCTCCCTCTGTGTTTAATTCCCCTGGAAGCAAAGAGGACTACATGGAGGATCTGAAAAGTCTGGAAAGGTTTCTGCGTTCTGAAGAGGAGAAAAGCCATCGCAGTCACCTAGGTGGGAAGAAGTTGAGACTAGTTCATGTCTATTTATGCCTTTTATACACAAACTTCCATTTTACCAATCATTTCACTCAATTCATTCTATATGAATTCAGTTTGGTTTCTTCATTTTACCTGCAGGCAGCCCAGAGTCTGTGTCTCCTAACCACAGCCCTACTTTCTGGAACTACAACCGTTCTGTGGGCGATTACGCTCAGAGCCTGAGGAAATTCCTGTACCAGCCGGCGTGCCGCTCTCAGGCGCCGTCTGCCCACAAGGATGAGGCGGACCTGGGTTCCAAACATGCTGCAGAAGAGGTCTGCGAGGGTGCTAAGCCAAACTTTTTTTTTTTTTACACTCCTGTCTCTTTAAACAAGTTTTACACTTCAAAAACCAAACACTTCAGTGTATTTTGTGCTATATGTGATGAACCAGGAAGACTTCAGCAAACAGGCGATAAGTAGAAATAGTCCATCTGTGCATAATTTAGTTATTATCTGCATTCAACCAACCTAGAGTCACTATTTTGCTTCTCTATACATCTAAAGACTGGAAGTCTTCCCCAAGCTTTTTAAAATGACTCAGACTCTGTTAGATGGATTAATGTTATCTTTATAAACATTAATTATTCAGTTATTCCTCATATCTTCAAATGGATTTAAGTCTAGACTTTGACTAGACCATTAATATGGACACCTCTAAAACGTTTAATTGAGCTGCATCTGCGTTTAAGTGCTTTATCTTCCTGGAAGGGAACTCTCCTGAAGGAACGCATTCCCACATCATCATACCGCCACCACCTTGGTTCACTTTTGTTTAGAAAAACTATGTTTGTAAAGAGATTAAATGTGTTTATTTAAACTTTTTTTTATATATATATATTTTTTATTTTTACGTCATTTTGCACGTAAAGGTTTGGGCCAGGATCACCACCAGTCGTGCAGTGGTGGACCGTATCGACAGCTGGACAGCTAAGCTTAGAAACGTGAGTACTGAATTATTGGATTGTTCACATGGTCTGTAAGTTCTAAAATTCGTGCAAAAAAAATCCAGCATTGACTTAATGCAAACCTTTATGCCTGCAGTGGATCAGTGACACCATCTTGGTCCCTCTGGTCAAAGAGATCGACAATGTGAACAGTCAGCTGAGGAGGATGGGCTGTCCGGAGCTTCAGATCGGAGGTTAAACCTGCTGGAAATGCTGCATACATGTAGAATTTCTGCATCAAATGTGTCAAAAACGTTTCTTCTTCTCTCCACCAGAGGCCAGCATTAGCAGTCTGAGACAGGCAGCAGTGATGAAAGCCTCATTAATCCCCACCCTGACCTCTATTGTTCAATACTTGGACATTACACCCAACCAGGAATATCTAGTGGATCGCATCAAAGGTCGGTTCAGACATGCAATTTTTTGCTCATAATTTCACTACTGTTAAGGCGCAAAAAATAAAAATCCAAGTATATTTGTTGTTTATTGCTTTAGAGCTATCTCACAGTGGCTGCATGAGCTCTTTTCGCTGGAACGGTGGCGGTGATCTGAAGAACAGGAAGTGGGACACGGATCTCCCGACTGACTGTGCTGTGAGTTTGCAAACAAAGATCTGCAAACTATATTTACAGAAGTCCCCCTGCTTTCCTCTCTCAACCTGAGCTCATGCTTCTCGTCTCTCTCTCAGATCCTCATGCATGTGTTTTGCACATATTTGGACTCCAGACTGCCCCCACATCCCAAATACCCAGACGGGAAGACTTTTACTTCCCAGCACTTCAGCCACACTCCTGACAAACCTGGTGAGAGCTCATCTGTCAAAAGAGCGGCAGTGAAAAAACAATCTTTCCTGCATTTGATTTATATTTTGTTTTATGAACTCCTGTAGATGTTACCAAAGAGAACCTCTTCTGCATTCACCAAAGCAGCACCACGCCCCCTCACTACCAGCTGATATACCAAGGCCATATCTACAGTCTTCCTAAGGTAAATGAATGCTAAATACCTTATTTAGATTTTTAAAATCAAGGTAGAATTGTTAGACTTCATCTTGTTTCTGTTATAGGGAAGGAATAACCTGTTTCACACGATCCTCATGTTCCTCTATGTCATTAAGACCAAGGAGTCAGGAATGCTGGGGTGAGCTCTTCCTATGTTATTAATGAAGAATCATTGTAGCAAATTATTGTAAAACATTGAATACATTTGATGTATTAAAAAACTGACTGATCATATGTTTGGGATTACTTTTGACTATATTTATCTTGAATAATGTGTTTCTTATCCTTTTTATTTCTTTCCCAGGAGGGTGAATCTGGGTCTCTCCGGTGTGAACATCCTCTGGATTTTTGAAAACTGATGCAATGTTTTAAAAGACACAAACAGCTGCTAAGGATGAGTTTTTTTGTTTTGTTTTTTCTTCTGCAATGCAGTGATCAGTTTAACTCTTTTAGGGTCACACGACAAACAGCTGTTTGCTCCGAAGAGAGAACTGCATGCACATCTATGGATATTTCCTCTGCTGGATGAATGCTGTGTTCATTTACAGTTTCAGAGCAAATTTCTGTTACTTTTAGTCCTGAGGATGCAGTTTTTATTTCCTTTTTCTGATTGAGAATGTATCCGCATGGCAGCCTTGTAAATTATATACCTCAAATTATAACTGAATGACAACAAAACTCAGTTAGAGGAATGTAAATATTTTTCTTGGAAACATCTGCAAACTGTCATTTGTATTCTCCTTTTTTTAAATATCACTGCTCAGACTGTCATCACAATCTAGCCCCTTTGTTTACATTATTAATAAAGGAGTATAAGGATGCAGGAAATTATGGAGAAATGTGCTTTGGACAACAGTTAAGTGACCTTTTAGGTGTTTTTAATAAAGAACCACATTTTTTTCAAAGTTCTCGCCTTTATACCTTGTGAGGTTCCTTTATTCAAACATTTCTTGTGACGTGTGTAGATTAATTCACTAGAACAAAAGTAAAAATGCTATTATCAGTTTATGTATTTCAATACCACTCTCATCCGCATGGTGGCAGTGTCGCTCTCTTTATGATTTGACCTTACTGCTGTACCAATTGTGCCATCGCAGATACCCTGGTGTTTTGTTTTGATGATCTCTTTAACTAGATGAAAAATCAAGACAATGTGTGGAATATCTCATGTTAAATCCGAATAAATGTAAATGTCCTGTAGCTAATGCGGAACATTGTACTGAAAAATAATTTTAAAGTAAGTGACGTATTTCAATGTATCTACAAATATTACTATTGATTTTGGGAATATTCAGTTACTTATTTAATGTTAAATATTGAATATATTTCCAGAGAAAGTCGTTATCTGTTAGAAAAATCTCCCATGCACGAATGTGCCGGGTTTTGGTTGTGGGACCACAAGTCCCACAATGCATTGCGCGCCGCCGTTCCTTCATTCACATCCGCTCACCTCGCTATCAGCGCTGGAAAAAAAGGACTTTGAGAAACTGCAGCGATGTCAGTCCAGGTTGTGGCAGCGAAAATGGCAGAGGTCGAACTCAAAGACGTCTCCACCGGCAAAAACCTGTCGGCCGACTCCGCGGCGACGTCGGAGGACAAGACCCTCGGCGGCAGAAACGAGCCGCAGAAGGAGGCCGGTTCCTCCGCCCCAGCCGCTACGTCCCCCGCCGCGGAGCCCTCCGCGAAAGCCGGGGAAGGCAGCCGGGGCTTGCTCACCCCGAGCGCCGTCAAAATGCCACAGGCGTCCGCTATGAAGCACACGGACCCTCAACAGAACGGGGGAGAAGCTTTCGTGAACCGTGACGGTACGGTGGCCGAGGCTCCGCGGATGAAAAAGGTGGGTGATACGGAGACTTTTTCTGGGTTGGAGCTGCAGTGAGCATGATGCTAACAGGCTAGCTGGTCCTGGAGCTGATTCAGCTGGGAACGTTAACACTTTTAATTAACGGCTTTCCCCTAAAAACCCTCTGCTGTGCTAATAATAATGGCTTGGAAACATAACATTAAACTGACTTTTAGCTTAAGGGTTTCTTGTTTGTTTTATATTTTGCTGAAAACTGTTGGTTAGTGACTCTAAATCATCCTAAAAGTTTTACTACTGTAAAAGTTTATGCGACTTTTGATATTTGTAGATTTATAGATGCATTAAACACCTTCAGTATAAGGGTTTATTGTCAGAGATGGGATTATGTTTCAGAAAAATTAGTCTTTAGCCATTTTTTCATTCAAATTAATTTGTTTTAATTGATGCAAATAAGAAGAATGTTAGAAAAACGTGTTACAACCTGAAACTGAAATCTCAGTTTCTTTTCCCCCCAGCTCTAGAAAAGTAACTCCACAGCATAATGTTGCGTTCACCATGTTTCACTGAGGTTATTTTTTATTAATATTATTAATGCCACTTTCACTATGTTTTACTGTGGGTGGTCATTAAAAAAAAATTTTTTTTATAAATTTTAATTTATTTTTTATTCATTATTTTATTTTATTTTTTATTAATGCCACTTTCACCAGGTTTTACTGTGGTCATTTATTATTATTATTATTATTAATAATAATTTATTTATATTTTTATTTATTTTTTATTAATGCCGCTGTCACCATGTTTTACTGTGGGTGGTAATTTTTTTGTTTTGTTTTATTATTATTATTTTTTATTTATGAATTTTTTTTAATGCCGCTTTCACCATATTTTACTGTGGGAGGTCATTTCTTTGGTGTGTTCAGGGTGACCCAGAAGGAATCCTTCCCACTTAAGTGGCAGAATCCTGCTTTTGTCAAACCCTGAAAAAAATCACACTAAATAAATAAAAAGCGCACAAAAGCTAAATCAACATCAGCAAATCAAAACGTGTCCAAAAAAAAAAAAAAAAAAAAAGCTGTATTTTCTACACCAGTCTTTCCAAAAAAAAGTTCCCCTTCCTCCATTAAGGAACTGTTACCAGCATGTTTAGTGGCAAGATATTTTTTTTCAGGGTTAGAGACTGCTGCAGCAGTTTTCCTCCTGTTTTTTCCCATAGCCCAGAAAGTTCTGTGTCAGCTTATTTGTTAAACATAATCGTGTTATGAAGTTCATCTCATAGCTGAGGTCAGATATAAACACAATAGATAATTGTTGAGTTGATAAGAATGAACAGTTCTCAAAACATGACGTTTTAGTATTCAGATAACTACAGTGTTTTCAACTCCCATGTTCCGATTTTGGTGATTAACAGGGGTTTGTCTCTGGAACATTACAATCAACTAGGCCAGGACGAATACATTTTATTGACAATTATAATCTTTTGCCCAAAAAAAAAAAGCATTTGTAGGTTTATTTAGGAAGGCTAAACTGGAATGTGTTGTTTTTTTTTGTATGTGTTTTTACTCCTGCAAGGAATAAGTCTTGATTTTGTTTCGTGAGGGCAAATTAGACTTCTGCAACCGCACACATCAAATGTCACTTGGGTCTGGACGCGAACCAGTTTTGCTCGTATGCTTCTGCACCGTCTGTCTGGAATGTCTAGGGACGCACAGCAGTTTCCCACCAAAGCGCAAGGGGGAGCCTCTTCGAGAACTTCGGCAGATGGTCACGAGAACTTCGGCGGTGCCGGCGGGAGTGTTTAAAACGACAATGGCGCGTCTGCAAGATATCACGGTCACAGAGATGGATCTAGAGTTGCTAGACATCGAAGAGGAACGGGTTCTGTTAATGGAGTTGGCAAAAAGACAAAGGAGGACGCGCAGGTGGTCTGTACGCCCCTTTCGTCATAGTTGTTCATTGGTTTTTAAAAATGGTGCGCTCCGGCACTGAATCAAGAACATAGGACGACCAAACAGACAAAAGCCGGAAAGGCATACCAAGGACCAATCACAGCTGCTTTTTGTCTGCGCACTTCCGCTTGAGGTCTGTGCGGGTTTGCAACCGTCCAAGGCGTACTCAGGATTTTTTTGCGCAGTGATGATTGCAGAACCACTGCGCGGTGGGGTGTGGTCGTTGCCCAGAGACGGTTTCAGAAGCTATGCGTCAGAAGCATAAATTGGCCTTTATCCACAGCATAATAGGTCCCACACCATACTTAACAGTAGAGATGAAGGACTTTTCTGTAGTTATGTGTTTAGGTTCTTACCAATGTATTTGATTCTTAGAAGTAAACAAAGGTTTGATTTTCTGCTTGACGGCCTTGAAAGTTTTCTTTAATTCAATGTTGTTGTAGCTTGTGTTATTACACAAAAATAAGTACAAAAAAAACCTGAAAAAGCTCCTGTTGATTGCAGTCATTGTCTAAAATTTGTCCTCTAACCTGTGCTCAGACAGCAGTGATTATGTCGATTTACTGGGTAGTCTGTGTAGTTCACTTTGATACAAGGAGATGGTTGCAGTAAAAAAAAAAAAGCTAAAAATGCTCTTCAGGGATAGACATAATTATAGACGGGGGAGTTTTTGAATTTTCAGCTTCAGTGAATACAGAACATGGGATTCTTGGGTAGTGATTAACAGTCAGCGAATCCATCGGAGTGGAAATCTGTCCGGTTTTGCAGTTTAATTTAAAAACACTTTTATGGACATCCACTGGGACAGAAGATCCCCACCCTTAGCTGTATTTATAGGTGCGCATTGCATTGTAGATGTTGTATTGCCTTACTAATCTGCTGAGTTCAGTGCTGTAATGGCTACGTGCGGTGCTGGGGCTGATGATGCAAGTGTGTAAGCTGGCGGTGTTGACTGAGTGACTGGCTAGTATTTAATCCTCGCCTTTATCATGTCACCACATGGGGGGATTAAAAGGCCATCATTCTGTTGTAGGTGAGGACAGATGTAAGCGTTTTTAAGTTCTTCTTCAGCATAGATATCCAATCTGCAGGTGGTCCAAGTTGATATTTGCTGAAAGTATTTTGTTGACTCTGGCGAATCTAATCACTGTTTGGGATAATTTAGGCAAATATATATATATATATATATAAAAAAGAAAAAAAAAGGGGTCAGTTGATTGAAGTGGATGTCCTCCAAAGACATTAGCCCGATGGTCTCTGAAGGACTCTGTAGAGCTGCAGCACAGAAAGCTCTTCCCTCTGAAAGAAACGTTATGTCATGCACTAAGCTGGCGTTCCTGCTAGTGCTTAATGGTTTATAGGCTTACAGTGACATGTGGCTGCTCTGCTTGAAAAGAGAATGGTCCACTAGAGATCTAAATCAAATTAATTTACCCTTATTTCACTGTGTGCTAAATAGCATTATACAAAAGAGACATGTCTTTTTTGGGGGGAGGGATTTATAACGAGTTGAGATGCTTGAATAGAAAACAACTAGCATCAAAATAAAAACCAGAGACGGATAAAAGATCAAATTAATGCAAAGATGTGAAGTTTTTCAGTAAATTTTTTGAAGTGCGTTAGTCTTTTTGTAGAGAAAAAACCTAACAGCATGATCCTGCTACCGCCGTACTTTCTAATTGGTAGTGTTCTCAGCTTTCCCCTTTTGCTTCATATTCAATAATAATTACAGTCTAAAGCTTTTTGCTAAACATTAAGGCCTTTCACTTTGAGTTCATCTGCAAACTGTAATCTGGATTTTATGTTGCTTTTGGATTCTTGGCCCCTTGCTCTACAAGTGGCCCTTTAACTCACTCTACAGGTTTTGCTCTCTGTAGTTTCTTGCTGCAATATTCGTCTTTCATCAGAGTCAGCTTACTTTTCCATTAAACATCTTGGATTATCACAGCCATTTTCAGATAATCCAATGAAGAATGCAGAGCTACAGCTTTTGAGTTTGTTCCTGGATGTCTTCACGTCTCAAACAAAGGAGAATCTGTCACAGTCCTTCCCTGCTGCACCTGATCGTTTAAATTGAGTCACCTCAGCAAACATGAGCCGGCCTGCGATCAGGAGCGCATGTCACGGTAATGACATGCATTAACTGCCCCTCATTAATGTTACAGTGTGGTATGTTTAGCAAATACTCCTAACAGGTGGCAGATAAGATTAAACTATCTAATTACTATCCTATTAAGGCCAAATTGATCTATTTAACTTAACCTGTTAATTCTATACCACTGCTGTATTTTATGGTGGGAAAAGGAGACATTTTTAAGGTGTCCAAAACTAACTTTCAAATTCATACTTTGCATGTGTGGACTGAGGGGAAACCTGAAATTTTCCAAAATATCACAAAGTTTGGGATTTAATTTATTTGTCTTACAGAATCTGTTTTTGTTAGAAGTTGTTTTTCCAAAGTAATCATAACTTTAAGTTTTATATCAAAACTGGATGTGTGTTAGACCCAGGTTTGGATGAGCCTTGGATTTATGGTTTCTTCAATGATGAAAAATATGCTTTCACAATTTTTTTTGTTGTTTGGAGATTTCCATAGAAACTGACATCCTTCTAAAGGTAGATCAGTTTGACTCCCAACCAGCAGATTACATTGATATTTACAATTGATAAATTATCTACAGACAGCATTGCAGGGCAATAAATCACAACTAATGAATGCAAAACGGTTTGATTCCGATCTCTGCACCTTTTTATCCAACTTTTTATAATATACTTGTTTTGGATTAAGATACATTTTAGAAGTCAGCCTGATATTATTTTTTTTTTAAATATATATATGTCTTTCCTAGAGTTATTAGGAGTTAGAGTTAGAAAGCACTGGTGAACAATTAATGAGATAAGGAGATTTATGAAACCCTACCAGGAAGCACAACAGTGAATGTTTCTCAAAGTAAATGCTTCTAGGAAAGAGGAGGATTTTCTCTTTTAGGGATGGTGTTATGCATGTCTTAGAGAGTCCCTTGTTTGAGAATACGTTTATTTTGAGGCTTTTGTCCTTTCTAGGATTAAATTGCAAGCCAATGA